CCCCCTCCTCCTTCTCCTCCTCCTCATCATCATGCTCATCCTCATCATCAGAATCACCATCATCATCATCATCATCATCAGCAGCAGCACCATCATCATCATCATCATCATCATCATCATCATCATCATCATCATCATCATCACCACCATCGTCATCATCATTCTCTGCTTTCTCCTCCATCCTCCCAGTCTTGAGGTACGAAGGCTTCCCAGCCATTATTCCACGGCGTGCTCCCCCACGTGACTGGTAAAGGCAACTCGCCTGGGCGTCGTTTGTGGACGGGCCGGTGGGGGTACTTTTTTTACAGCCGCAGGCGGAAGCGCCAGCGGCGGAAGGTCGCGAACGGGCCGCGGACGCGACTAAATTACCTAACGCGCGCAGGGCCGCGGATCAGGCGGCTCACGACAGCGTCCAGGGAAATGTGCAATCCAGGTGCCATGACAGCCCCTGAACGGGCATGCAGGTGCGTCCAACAGGCCTGAGGTAGGCACCGAGACCACCAAGCGCAGCCAAAATGGCGCGAAAACGTTCCAACGTCCAAGAGCGGACAAGGGAACGGCCGAGGACGCCAGCTCCAGCCTGTCGGGTAACACAGAGGTCGGGGTGGTAAGTCCAACGAGGATCCCGACGGCGGCAGCGAGCCGCGGCGTCAGCGACATCAAGGTGTATCCATGTTCCGATAAGACAACCACACCAAGACGTATCGGCCCAGACCCAACGGGCGGAAGGGCACCGAATGCACGCTCCCGTCGAAACGCGGCGTGTGCACAGCACAATGTCACAGTGCAGTCCAATGAGGCGGAGAGCACAGGCGGAACGAGACTGTGTATACCCAGGCAAGTCCCACAAAGCCACTGATCCAAGGTCGCGGTAGGAAGCCGTCCAGCAATGACGTCCAGAGGGCACCGATCCATGGAGCCTGCAGGGTACCACAGGCTGACTGGGGACAAGTACCAACTAAAGAGCAGGCGGCGAGCCAGTCGCAACGTAAGAAGCGCACCCAGGGTGTGGAGAGTGATGACTAGACAGAACATCCACACCTGAGATGCGACAGCCCAGATCCGACGAGTGGAAGGTAAGGAAGGGCACGATGCACGGCAGACCCCTAGGAGTGTGCACATCAAAGGTGGCCCAGCGATACCCATCCGAGTGGTCTAGCACAGAGGGACGAGGACGTCTTGTACCCGAGACGTGTCCCACAGAGCCAACGGATCCAGGGTGACGGCGGAAGGCCGTCCTTCTTGTTTGAAAAGTCCAGGGTGACGGCAGAAGGCCGATCGTCCGGTTAGAAAGTCCAGGGGGAAGCCAGTGGTCTAGCGGCAATGGCCCACTGACAGGCCAGGAAGGCCTGGCGGTGAGACAGCTACAGTAGGGCCTGGGGCCGCGAGTCCACTGCGGAGAGGCGGTGGACGGCATTGCCGAAGCGCACACCTGGATCCAAAGGCAGGAGGTGCGCGCATCGGGCGGAGGGCGGCAGCGCCGCGATTAGGGGCCAGCGGCGCGGCCTGGGCAGCGTCCGCTGGGATTCAGGAAGTGAAACATGGCGGGGAGAGAGGAGCCGAGTGACAAGAGGGCGTCGGCCACCGGTGGAGAAGGCAGCGATGCCAGTGGCAAGTGGTTTGCAGGATGCGTGGGGCCACGCACGGAGCAGACGGTATTACCGAACGGCACCCCAAGGCCACGGGTGAGAGAGGGTGCCGCTCAGGGGAGGGGGGGGGCAGGGCCGCCCCAGGTTGAGGGAAAGGGCGGCAGAGGGCCGCGGTGGTGCGTTGTGAAGCGCAGGCGGTGGGGCGGGCACTGGGGGGCGGTGAGGGCAGAGAGGTAGTTCAGTCTTTCCGGCGGAGTCTCTTTTCATCTCGATCATCCCGATCATCAGGGTAACCTCCGCCGCGCTTGCCACCCGCCTGCCAGTGATCCTCACGCCATCCGTCGCGCCACTCGCCCTGCCAACTGCTCCAGGTGTCCCGGGAACTTGTCGCACGGTCGCGCCAACCTGTGTGGCGATAGCCGCCTTTGCTCCAGTCGTCTGTCTGGGAGTGCCGCAGGTAGTTGGCTCGTATCTTGTTCCAGTCGATACCATAGCCCAGTCTCCTGTCCATCTCGTAGGCGTCGTACCCGCAGTCCTTCCAGGCCTCTAGGAAGTTGATGATATCCGCGGGCGTGTGTAGTTTCGGGTCGGACTTGGGCGCCCTCCATCCAGGGGGCAGAGTACGCTGCGTGTTCGCTGTCCACAGTGCACAAAAGACTGCTCCCAGCTGCGACTGAAGCCTGGATATGCAACTGGCTGGTGTCTCGTCGGGACGCTCGAGTTCGACGGTGCCCAGCCTGACTTTGTACATTGGGCCGCCTCCATCAGGGCAGGACAGCGTGTTGAGTGCGTCCTGCTCCGAAGAGCCAGTGTGGCGAGAATAGTGGGGCCTCCGCTCAGGGGGCGTCGGGGTGGGCGCGGGAAGGCGCTCGCACCGCGAGGTGCCACCGTCGCTGGTCCTCTCGTGCCTCGCGGGGTTTCGAGCTGGAGCCCGCCCGCGATCGGCGTAGGGCGTGCCCTCTGTGACTGAAGTCGCGGTATCCTCGCGACTGGTGTCGGAGCTGCCCGCCGACGGGCTACGCTGTGGGCCATCTCCGCCTGAGCGATTCTCATCACCCTCCTGGGCCGACTCAGAAGGCGTGGGAGGACGGGCGGGTCCATCCTCTTCGTAGTCGGGCTCCATCTTGTGAAGGGGGAGCCCGTCTTCCGCGCCTTCACCGCTGTCGTCGTCGGGCGGGTCATGGTGGCCCATGCGTGAGTCGTCCGCTGAACCCTGAGACCTGTCTGTGTCGGCCGCCATGGGAGTATCTGGCCTGTCGTCACCACCAGAACACGCACCAGATGGAAGGGACCCTGCCAGGGAGGTGATCTCTGGCGCCGCGCCAGAGCTGCCTGCGGGGCTGGGTGCAGGGGATTGCTTGCTCCGACCTTGGTGAATTGGTCCTGGGCTTTGGCGTCCTCGCCAAGCCACGGGAGGGAATCCACGATGTCCACAGGTGCCTCGAACCCAATCTGGCTGCTGAGCGGGGGAAGGGCCGGAGGTCCATCTGGATACAGCGGCCTGAAGTCGCGATCCAGGATGTGGTCCAGGGTGGCCGGGCCAATGTTCCAAATCGGGACCAGACAGCGCCGGTGGGGTTACGCGAAGCGGCTAAAATGTTTACACTGTGAATATGCAAGCGATGTGGTGTAAACTATGTGGTGCAATCGTTGTGGTGAAAGCTATGTGACGCAATCGCTGTGGTGTAAGCTGTGTTGTGGAAGCTGTGTGGTGCAAGCTACGTGGTGCACTGTATGATGCAATCGGCGTGATGCAAGTTCTGTGGTGCAAGCTACGCAGTGCAAGCTATGAAGAGCAAGCGATGTGGTGCAATCAACGTGGTGCAAGCTATATGGTGCAACATGTGTAGTGCAAGCTGTGTGGTGCAAGGTCTGTGATGCGAGTGTTACGGCGCAAGCTATGCGATGAAAGCTGTGCGGTGCCAGCTATGAGGTGTAAGTAAGTTCTGTTCGCAGTGAGCTGTCCACTCCACAGCTCGCGCAAACATCCCACCCACCCACTCGCAACTTGGTTTGTTGGTGACGATGCTGACAGCGACGACGGCACGGCCAGTGACGGCGCCGATGCCAACCGCGCCGACGACGATGACGGCGTCTTCGCGTCGGTGATGGAGGTTTTAGGAAGAATTCGAAATGCGCGCGGGGCAGACGCGCGAGTGGCTCGAATGGAATTATTTGAAACGGATCGTGCGACCCCAGCACGCGCGCAAGGGCGTTCGAACGATTTCGACATGCGCGTGCGCGAAGCCCGTTTGGTAGCATGTTATGAACATGTTGAAAACACATGATGCTCCCAAGAATTCGCAAGAGCGCGCGCGGATGTTTGTTTGACAATCAGTGTTGCGAAACCCTGTGTTTTTGTATGTTTGTTTGGACACTCAATTATGAAATCATTCCGAGACCGTAGGTTTTTGTAGAATTTCGGTATGTGCGCGGGACGACGCGCGCACGTGCATTTCGTCTCATTTGTTGCAGAGGATTCTCGCGACGGCACGCGCGCATGGGCGTTCGAACGATTTTGACATGCGCGCGCGAAGCCCGTTTGGTAGCATTTTCTGAAAATCTTGAAAAACCCATGGTTGTCTTAAGAATTCGCAAGAGCGCGCGCATGTTTTTTTTGAATACCCGTGTTGCGAGACCATATGTTGTGTGGTGTAAGCTACGTGATCTAAGCTATGTGGTGCACGCTATGTGGTGTAGGCTATGTGATGCAATCGACGTGTTGCAAGCTATGTGGTGTAAGCTGCGCGGTGTCACTTAGCTGTCTGGTGTGAGCTATGTGGTGCAATCGACGCGGTGCAAGCTATGTGGTGCAATATTTGCGGTGCAAGCAATGTGGTGCAAGCTACGTGGTGCAAGCTCTGTGGTGCAGGCTATGTGGTGCAATCGATGTGGTGCAAACTATGTTGCGCAAGCTATGTAGTGCGGCGACGGACGAAGACGGGGCCGCCCGGCCCACAGACGGGCCTTTTCATTGTAAAAAGTAGGGCGGCGACGGACGGGAACGGGCCGCCGGGCCCACAGACGAGCCCAGATCCTTGGAAGGGAAGCAAGAAACCCCAAGTGAAAGCATTGTTGGGGGAAGTAGATATATACGTGCATACAGAAACGTACATAAATATATATATATATATATACATACATACATACATATTTTTATATATATAAACATACATACATACATGCATACATGTATGAAGGTATCGCTCTCTGCTTCCACTGTCCCCATCCATCCCATTTTCTCCCTGCCTGACTCAACCGATCCTTATCCCAAACCTTTCCTTCCTCCTGATGCTCCGCCTCCTTCTCCACCTCATTATCATCATCATCATCAGCCGCAGCAGCAGCAGCATCAAAATCATGATCATCATCATCATCATCATCATCATCATCAGCATCATCATCAGCATCAGCATCATCATCATCATAATCATCATCATCATCATCAGCAGCAGCATCACCGTCATCATCATCAGCAGCAGCATCATCATCATCATCATCAGCAGCAGAATCGTCATCATCATCGTCATCGCCATCATCAGCATCATCATCAACATCAGCATCAGCAGCATCATCTTCATCATCAGCAGCGGCAACAACTTACACCATATGGATACTACTCTCCTCTCCCCTGGTGAGGTCTGGAAGATCGCCCCCCCCTCCGCGTACTCAATTTTTACACGCAGGATTCCCAGGAGTTGGATGTTCGATTGGGCTTGTTTTCAAAATGTTGCTCCCGCTGAAGCGCTGGCCTCAGTTTCGGGCTTCCGCTCGTTCCGAAGTGTGCTCCCGCTGCAGCGCTGACCTCATTTCCGCGCTTCCGCTTGTTTCGAATCGTGATCCCGCTGCAGCGCTGGCCTCATTTCCGCGCTTCCGCTCGTTTCGACTCGTGCTCCCGCTGCAGCGCTGGCGTCATTTCCCGTGCCATGCCACGGCATGCAATGCAATGCTAGGTTGATACTACGCTTTGCGGTGCTCTTCTACGCCATGCCATGCCGCGGCATGCAGTGCCATGTCACGGCATGCAATGCAGTGCTATGTGGTGTTCCGCTGTGCGATGCCATGCCTTCTGCTGCAATGCTAGGATATGCAGTGCTTGACTACGCAGTGCCACGCCATGCTCTGCCATGCTACGCTTTGATCTTCAACGCCATGCTATGCCATGATCTGTTCTGTGCCGCTGTGCGATGCCATTATTTGCGATGTAATGCTTTGTGATGCAATTCTTCACTACGCAACGCCACGCCATGCTCTGACATACTACGCTCTGCCGTGCTCTTCTACGCCCTGCTATGCCGTGCTCTACAATCCATCGCGCACCCTCTCGGGATCATTGCCCTGCTCGACATCCGAGTATGCGAATAGAGAGGAGATCTACGCCATTCTAAGGTATGAGGGGGAGGGGTAGGACGTCAGATATGAAGCGAGCGCACCCTAGCTTGTCATCGCCCCTCCCTCCCTCCCTCCCCTCCCTCCCCCCCTGCCCCCCGTCCCTCCCTCATCCCTCATCCCTCCTCCCTCTGCCCTCTTCCCTCTTCCCTCCTCCATCCTGCCTCCTCCCTCCCGCTTCTCCTCCAGCCTCCCTCTCCCTCCTCCCTCCTCCCAGCCCCTTCCTCCCTCCTCCCTCCTCCGTTCGCCCTCCCCCCCTCCCCCCCTCCCCCCCTCCCCTCCTCCCCCCTCCCTCCGCCCTCCTCCCCCCCGGCCAGCGGCCCCGGCAGACCGAGTCCGTGTGCTTCAGCAGGCGAGACACCAGCAGGCCCACCAGGGACTGCAGGCCGATGGTGAGCCAGGTGTGGCTGTCGAAGCCGGCGAAGAAGGTGCCTTTCGGGAGCGGCGAAGTCGTGGAGGAGGAGGAGGAGGAGGAGGAGGAGGAGGAGAAGAAGGACGAGGAGGAGGAGGACGAGGAGGAGAAGGAGGAGGAGGACGAGGAGGAGGAGGAGGAGGAGGAGGAGGAGAAGGGCATCACGAGCGATCGAGCGAGCTGTCGGGCCGAGCTCGGAGCAGTGTCGCGTCGGCCAGAGCCGGACAGCTCTCACGAAGTGTGGCGCGGCCTGGCTGTGGCCACCTTCGTCCATGGGGCCCGGCCGCGCCACGAGGCGCAGTGGCCTGGAGTGCGCCGACCTCCCCTCCGCGCAGCAGGTCTGCAGGCAGGGCATCACGAGGAGGAGGAGGAGGAGGAGGAGGAGGAGGAGGAGGAGGAGGAGGAGGAGGGGGAGGGGGAGGGGGAGGGGAACAAGCTAGGTGCGCTCGCGTCATATCTGACATCCTACCCCACCCACCCATCCCTTACCATGGCGTAGATCCCCTCTCTACTCGCACAGTCGGATGTCGAGCAGGGCAATGATCGCGAAAGGGTACGCGATGCATTGGAGAGCACGGCATGGCATGGCGTAGAAGAGCACCGCAAAGCGTAGTATCAACCTAGCATTGCATTGCATGCCGTGGCATGGCACGGGAAATGACGCCAGCGCTGCAGCGGGAGCACGATTCGAAACGAGCGGAAGCGCGGAAATGAGGCCAGCGCTGCAGCGGGAGCACGATTCGGAACGAGCGGAAGCACGGAAATGAAGCCAGCGCTGCAGCGGGAGCACGATTCAGACGAGCGGAGCCCGAAAATGAGGCCGGCGCATCAGCGAGAGCAGCATTTTGCAAAAAAATGCAAGCGAAAACCCAACTCCAGGGAATCCTGTGTAAAAAAACAGTACGCGGGGGGGGTCGAACACTCCCAGCACGTCATCAGGGGAAGAGGGAGAGTAATATTCATATTGAGTAATTGTGGAGGAGGAGGAGGAGGAGGAGGAGGAGGAGGAGGAGGAGGAGGAGGGAGGAGGAGGAGGAGGAGGAGGAGGAGGGGCAGCAGGGGCGGCTCTCGACTGCGGAGGTGTTCTGCGCGGTTGCTGCAAGCCTGCTGGCCTCGGGGCGGTTTCACAAGCTGAGCCTCGTCGAGACAGGCCCGGGACTGCCCGGAGCGTCCCGGACGGCAGCCAGAGGCCCCAGCTGCGGCCCAAGAGTCGCAGGTGTGGGCCAAGGTTTATAGGGCGTGCGGAGGGGGGTCCGATCGGAGGGCCAGACGGTCACCTCAGCCAGGGCGTCCCCGCGACTGCTATGCAGATGCGGGCCTAGCTCAGGCACGCGCGGCGCGAGGAGGAGGCGGAGGCCGAGGAAGAGGAGGAGGAGGAGGAGGAGGAAAAGGAGGAGGAGGAGGAGGAGGCCATCAGGCCTAGGCGTCGCGGAGGGGGGAGGACTAACAACAAAACAAGCAGTGGTTGGCACTTCGTGTTTGCAGCGTTTCGGACCCTGGGGCCCTCGTGGGTCAGACCAGCTCGTGGGAAAGCCCGCATAGAGATGGGGTCGGAATCTCTGGTCGCATGCTTTTCCCAAACGACGTCATGACTTGTTCACCACGTCGGATGTGGGGGGGGGAGAAGTAAAAGTCTGAAATTCGAGGCCCAAACGAAATATGACAGAAACGCTGACCATTGCCGACTGAAGAGTTCGGCAGGATCTGCTGACAAAGCCGATGTACTCGCGCCTGGACTTATTGAGCGAGGCGGAGTCACAAACGGCGATGAGCTTCAGAATGTCAGAATGTAGAGATCGCTCGGCAAACAACCAGCACGACAAACAGATCCAACTACGGACTGCTGGGATGTTTAAAGTGACTGCCATCTGACCCTCCCTAGGGAAGACCACTGAGACCCTGTCTGACGTCACCTCGCGTGATCCCGGCAGGACCTCCTGAGAAGCCCTCATCAGTCCGAAGGCTCCCCATTGTGGAGCCGCCGTGTGCTTGCACGAACGGCCCCTCGTCCTCCTTGCGACGAGGAGCCTCCACGACACTTCTTCACCGAACGAGAACTGGACAAAACCACAGCAGGCACATGTGTGGGGCCTGCACAGACGGCGATGAAAGAAAGTTTGGAGTCCCGAAACGGTGCGGTGACAGACCGTGCGGTGACCTCGAAACCCCCAAGACCTCACCGCACGGTCCGTCAGCGCACAGTTTTGGGACCTCGGAGGCCCCTGTCGCCCGAGACATCCTCGGAGAGGGACTCGAGTCCCAAAACCGTGCGGTGACCCCGAATCTCCACCGACTCACCGCACGGTGCGGTCACCACCCCGTTTGGGGCCCCCCGAGAAAGGAGCCCCCCCCCTCCTCCACGCCGGGGCAGCAGGCACCCGCTGGGACGGCATCCTGCAGGCTCGGCCTGGCCCGGGGACCCCGACCCGCGGGAGACCAGCCCCGAAGCCAGCCGCTGGCGGAGGGCCCTCCTCCTCCCCGCTGGGAGAGAACGCGGGCGTTCGTCTTGGAGTGTGGAGTCGGGCCTGTCCTCCTACAGAGGGATCTGGACGAAAAATAAAAGATACCCAAACAGGTCTCCCCAAATGCTCAAGGACAGTGAAACAATGGTCGCCGGACTATTGATTCGACTATTTCTGAATATTCCTCCAGGCTCGACCTGGCCCGGCATCCCAGGGCGAGAAGGCAGAGCATCTGCACTCGCACTGGCCTGCAAAGACAGAGAGAGAGAGAGAGCATCGAGCCCGCGGATCCCCCGCAGCGGCAGGCACCCGGGCCCGGGCGGCCGCCCCCTGGTAGTTATCCGCCGAGCAGGGACTGGCAGGACTCCCAGACGAGCTGGCACACGAACGCACGTCCTCCTCCTCCTCCTCCTCCTCCTCCTCCTCCTCTTCCTCCTCCTCCTCCTCCTCCTCCTCCTCCTCCTCCTCCTCCTCCTCCTCCTCCTCCTCCTCCTCCTCCTCCTCCTGCCCCCTGAGGAGCACTTGGGCGCCCCACCCTGGAGCAGCCTCCAGGCTCGACCCGGTAGCCCCACGGGGGGGGTGGGGGGGGGGCAGGACAGCCGCGCCCCCGAGCGTCCTGCAAGCCCCCACGGTCGGGGGGGCGGGGAGTGCCTCCGACAACCCTTCACCACGAGCTGGCACACGAACGCACGTCCTCTTCCCCCCGAGGAGCACCTGGGCGCCCCACCCTGGAGGAGCCTCCAGGCTCGACCTGGTAGCCCCACGGGGGTGGGGGGGGGCAGGACAGTCGCGCCCCCGAGCTTCTGCAAGCCCCCACGGTCAAGGGGGGAGGGACGGGGGGGCCGATGCCTCCGACAACCCTTCACCACCAGAACCACAAGAAACGGATGGTCCAAGGAGAGGTTCAAAAAACTGAACACGATCAGCCCTCGTTCTCTCCTGCGGGCGCCGCGCGGCAAGGAAATACTTCCACGCCAAGCCCCATGACTCTACTGCCTGTGCTGTAGCAGTGGCAAAGAAAACACATGCGCAGGAACGAGCCATCCGAACAGCCCACGAGCGCATACCCATGACCATCCGTGCCATGCAGAGATGGCAAAAGGCTTGGGCGACCAAGGGCATCCTCCGGGGTCGGGACTTGCAGAGCGCATAGCCACGGGAGCGGAAGCACGCGGGCGCGGGCACCCCTCAAACGAGCCACGCATCGCTGGCAAGCTCCCCGCCGAGCCCAGCCGCGCACCCGGGCAGGAGCTTGCCACGCGGCCTGGCCAGGGACTCCGCACGGCCGGCGCCAGCAGTGCCAAGAGGCACGCGCGGCCACAAAGACAAAAGGGCCTCGCTGCCAGCGGGACGAGGAGGAGGAGGGAGGAGGAGGAGGAGGAGGAGGAGAGGGAGAAAAAGGAGGAGGGAGGAGGAGGAGGAGGAGGAGGAGGAGGAGGAGGAGGAGGAGGGGAGGAGGGAGAGGAGGAGAGAGGAGGGAGGAGGAGGAGGAGGAGGAGGAGGAGGAGGAGGAGGAGGAGGAGGAGGAGGAGGAAGGAGGAGGAGGAGGAGGAGAGGAGGAGGAGGCGAGGAGGAGGAGGAGGAGGAGGAGGAGGAGGAGGAGGAGGAGGAGGAGGAGGAGGAGGAGGAGGAGGAAGGAGGAGGAGGAGGAGGAGGAGGAGGAGGAGGAGGAGGAGGAGAGGAGGAGGAGGAGGAGGAGGGAGGAGGGAGGAGGAGGAGGAGGAGGGGAGGAGGAGGAGGAGGAGGAGGAGGAGGAGGAGGAGGACGGCCCTGCCCGCGGCAGGCCTCCCGGGCCGCGCTCCCGACGTCGGCGGGGGGCGAGTCGCGCCGCGGCCTTCGCCATCTCGGCGCGGCGGGAGCCCCGCGCCGGCAGGCACGGCCACGACCAGGCCCGCACGGGGCCCAAGGCCCAGGCGGGCGGCCAGAGGCGAAGCGAAGCGAAGCGAAGCGCGCAAGTCCGCCGGAGCGGGACCCTTGAGGGTGGGCGCGGGCGGGCCGGGGCCCTTACACCGTGGTGCCGGAGATGTTCATACAGAAGCCGTCGCATGCGCGATAAATTGTCCCTCCAATCTGTGCCACACACAAGTGTCGCAGGCAAGTTGCAACCACCATCGGCAACCGGTGTCGGCGGCCAGAGGGCGGCCGCGAACAGGCGGGGACCGCCGAGGCCCGATAGCCGCAGGCGTGGCGGCGGGACCCTTCTCCGGGTTGATACCAGCAGTCGCGACAGGCGGAAACTCTGCACACTGGGGCAGGCGGGCCATGCAGGCCTGAGAGACCAGCAGAGTCCCATCCAGCTCTCGAGAGCCCACGGACCCTGCAGCCAAAGCAATCATTTAGGAAACCACGACCTTCGAAATTGACCAGAGGGGGGGCCCAGGGGCCACCAGACCCGACGCCGCGGACCCTTCCTCGAAGATCTCCACTTGCACTCCATCCGCCTTGCTAGGTCGCTGGGCGCAGGGTGGGGTCACCCGCTGGGTGAGGGAAGGCACAAGTGACAAACCGAATCAAGTCCTCATAGCGCCGCGACAAGGGCACGGCGCTTCTCGTTCACGCACTGGCGCCCCCAGAGGGCGCGCAGCAAGCCATCAGCCTTAGCTCCGCACAGTGGGCACAGGGCACTCCGCTGGCAGCCACACCCCGGCGCTCTGGAATTGGCCCAGATCGCGTCGCAGGCCAGGGCGCGCGCGCAGCCCCTCTCGGAGTGGGAGGTTTGCACAATCGGATCGAAGCACAGCCCGTTCGCTCCCGAGATGTTGGGCGGGGGGGGCGGTCGCAGACCAACTCGGACGGGAGGTCCGCCGAGGTCGTGGCGTCTTGGTGCATGGGCAGCACGCCACCGATAAAGATCTCCAGACACACAGAGTCTCTCGCTCCAACTGTCGAGATACAGCATCGTTGAGAAAGAACTTCATAAGGCCGGGCGAAGTCAACGCAGCCTTCAGATCCCGCCCCCTATCATCAGCAAGCGTATCATTGTCGTCCATGCTCCATTATACTCTCTCTCTCCCTCTCCCTCTCCCTCTTCATCATCATCATCATCATCATCATCATCATCATCATCATCATCATCATCACCACCACCATCATCAACAACGGCGACCACCACCACCGCCATCATTTGTCATCATCAGCAGCAGCATCATCAGTAGCATCATCATCATCATCATCAGCATCATCAGCATCATCAGTATCATCATCAGCATTATCATCGACATCATCATCATCGTCAGCAGCAGCAGCATCATCACCACCATCATCATAATCCTCATAATCATCATCACCACAATCATGGTCCTCCTCCTCTTCCTCCTGCTCCTCCTTCTCCTCTTCCCCCTCATCTTCCTTCTCCTCCCGCGCCTCCTTATCCTCCTTATCCTCCACGTCCTCCTTCTCCTCCTCATCGTCATCATCATCGTCATCATCACCACCATCACCATCACCATCACCAGCACCATCACCATCACCATCACAATCACCATCACCACTACCGCTACCGACCATCATTCATCATCCTCAAAATCAGCATCACCACACACAGCTTAAACATCATCGTCATGGTCAGAATCATCTTCATCATCACCATCACCAGCAACCACCACCACCACCACCACCACCACCATTATCATCATCAGCAGCATCAGAAATCATCCCAAAGAGGTCGACTGCTGGCTGGAGGCCGAGGTAGCAAAACCGGTTGGGGGCCACCGGACGAAAGCCCTGGGCGACCATCCCAGCGACTGGCGGGCGGCCGACCCGAGGACCGGCGGAGGCGGGGCCCCTTTTGCTGGGCTTGGGGCGCGTCCCCCCCGGGGGGGGGGGGGGCGATCGGGGGTGGGCGACCTGGGCTCACCCGGGGGCCCAAAGGCCCCCCAGCTTGGGGTCCCAAAGGCCCCATCCAGCTTGGGGTCCCAAAGGCCCCATCCGCCCCAGCTTGGGGTCCCAAAGGCCCCATCCGCCCCAGCTTGGGGTCCCAAGGATCGGGGGTCGGTTCCCCCCCAGCTTGGGGTCCCAAAGGCCCCATCCGCCCCAGCCTGGGGTCCCAAGGATCGGGGGCTGGGTTCCCCCCCGGCTTGGGGTCCCAAACGCCCCATCCGCCGCTCGCCGCCCGGCTCAGGGGCGGGGCCGGAGGGCCGGGCGCGGAGCGCCTGTGCGTTTCGGAGGGCGCGTCTCGGCGCCAGCCCTCCTCGGGAGAGCGCGATCATCATCACCATCATCATAATCGTCGTCATCATCATCATCATCATCATCATCATCATCATCATCATCATCACCATCATCATCATCATCATCATCATCATCATCATCATCATCATCATCATCATCATCATCACCATCATCATCATCATCATCATCACCATCATCCTCATCCTCATCATCATCATCATCATCATCATCATCATCATCATCATCATCATCATCATCACCATCATCATCATCACCACCATCACCATCATCATCATCATCACCATCACCATCACCATCACCATCACCATCACCATCATCATCATCATCATCATCATCATCGTCATCATCATCATTACCATCATCACCATCATCAGCATCACCATCATCACCATCATCATCATCATCACCATCATCATCATCATCATCAGCCGCAGCAGCAGCAGCATCAGCATCAGCATCACCACCACCACCACCATCATGGTTTTCCTCCTCTTCTTCCTCCTCTTTCTCCTCCTCCTCCTCCTACTTCTCCTTCTCCTTCTCCTCCTCCTCCTCCTCCTCTTCCTCCTCCTCCTCATCCTCATCCTCCTTATCCTCCTCCTCGTCCTCCTCCTTATCCTCCGATCTGACTCATCCTCCTCCTCCTCATCGTCATCATCACCACCATCACCATCACCATCACCACTACCCATCATTCATCAGCCTCCAAATCAGCATCACCACAAACATGTCAACCATCATCATCATGGCCAGCATCATCTTCATCATCACCATCATCTACAACAACCACCACCCTCACCACCACAACCACCACGCCGTCATCATCATCATCAGCAGCAGCAGCAGATCATCATCATCATCATCATCATCATCATCATCATCATCATCATCATCATCATCATCATCATCATCATCATCATCATCATCATCATCATCATCATCATCATCGTCATCGTCATCGTCATCAGCAGCAGCAGCAGCAGCGGCATCATCAACATCATCATCAGCAGCAGCATCATCCTCATCATCATCAGCAGCATCGTCATGATCATCATCATCGTCATCATCATCAGCATCACCATCATCATCATCATCATCATCATCATCATCAGCATCATCATCATCATTATCATCATCAACCGCATCAGCATCATCATCATCAGCAGCATAAACCTCCTCCTCAATCACCATCATCCGCAGCATCATCATGATCATCATCATCATCATCATCATGTTCATCATCAGCAGCATCATCATCGTCATCATCATGATATCAAGAATCATCATCATCATCATCATCATCATCATCATCATCATCATCATCATCATCATCATCATCATCATCATCTGCATCGTCATTATCATAATCATCATCATCGTCATTATCATCTGCAGCAGCATCATCCTCGTCAGCATCATCGTCATCCTCACCACCAGTATGGTCCTCCTCATCTTCCTCCTCCTCCTCCTCCTCATCGTCCTCATCCTGGTCAGCATCATCGTCATCATCATCATCAGCAGCAGCATCATCATCAGCAGCATCATCAGCAGCATCATCATCAGCAGCATCCTCCTCCTCCTTCTCCTCCTCCTCCGTCATCCCTCCTCCTCCCGACAGGACCCCGGCCCCTCCTCCAGTCGACCTGCCCGCTCGGCGGGGGCGGCCCCGGGCCGCAACCAAAGAGCCCCCACGGAGGTGCGAATACACGCCCGCCGCGGGCCGAGAGGCTTCTCGGGCCGGGCGAAAGGAGGGGATATCAGAGGGGAAATCGGCTCACGTGGTTGATTTTCCCGGCGCCGGAGGCGGCTACGTATCGAGGAATGGGCCCCTCGGTGGGGCCGAAACCAGCTGCATGCAGCAGATTTCGTAACCCCCCTTTCCCAATCCCCCCCCTTTCGGTCGACCGCGAGGCTTCGGCGGGTCTCCACACAGGCCGCGGCGCGGCGCGCCTGCGATGCGGGCCGGGTCCGTGGCCGCCAGGAAGGCCAGCGAGCAGGCCACGCAGAAGCTGTAGAGCACCTGGGGTGCCGGAGGAGGAGAGAAGGCAGCCAGCGCCGCGGCCCTGCGCCCGTCTGCCACCTTCCTGGGAGGCCCTCGTGGCCGCCGCTGGATTCGCCCCGAGGTTCTGGCCAGAACTAGGGGGGCCACATGCAAACCCTGCCCCTCGTGGCCACCGCTGGGTTCGTCCCGAAGCTCTGGCCAGAACTAGGGGGCCACATGCAAACCCTGCCCCTCGTGGCCACCGCTGGGTTCGCCCCGAAGCTCTGGCCAGAACTAGGGGGCCACATGCAAACCCTGCCCCTCGTGGCCACCGCTGGGTTCGCCCCGAAGCTCTGGCCAGAACTAGGGGGCCACATGCAAACCCTGCCCCTACCCCCCACGATTTCTGGGGGGAGGGTGGGGTTCACTTCGCTCGGGAGGTCCCGAACGAAGTGAACCCCACCCTCCCCCTCAGATATCGTAGGGGGTAGGGGTAGGGTTCGCATGTGGCCCCCTATCAGAACGCACCCCAGGAGAGGTCCGGGGAATAGCGGTATCGGCACCTCTTGGTATTCCCCCGGAACGGGAAGCTGCGGCTGTCGGGCGCGGCCTGACCGACCCCTGACCGACCCCTGCCGTGACGTCACCCTCGCCCTCCAAGCTTCCCTCCAGCCGCACACACACGTCTTGGGGTGAGACGAGGGGGACGTCACGCCAGGGGAGGGTTTGCTGGGGTCGGTTAGGCCGCCACCGGGGCTGGTTCGAGTCGCGACGTCGCGGGCGTTGGCTTCTGACGCCGCGTGGATCGTTCCACCTCGAACGATCACTGCTCTCCGATAGTGCATATCGCTCGACATCGGCCGATTCTGGGCCACTCGCGGCGTCTAACCTTGAACGCCTGCGCTGTGTCGCCTCCGCGTCAATGCGGCGCTAACCTACCGTACGTATTCGACCATGGACCCCCTGGCCTTGAGCAGTCTTTGGCTGTCTTCGGCGATCTTCTAACGGTTTTCGGCGGTGTTCGCTGGTCCTTGCAAGTTTCCTATAGTTTCTGGCTATCTTCGGCTCAAAAACTGGATGGTTGCATTCAACGAGCGGTCCATGATCGCGGCAGGAGGACGAGAAAATGTAGAGGGAAGCCCGGCACATGGAAGGGGACTAGCTCATTGGGGGGGATCGAACCTGAATCGGCGATGCGGCGCCGACGGGTCTGCAACATTCCCCCGATGGCGGAACCGCGGGTTCATGGACGGGGGTGGCCTATCGACGATGAATGGGCGACTGGAGGCCGATGACTCCCCTCATGAGCCAGCCCCCCCTGCCATAGCCCCTGCAAGAGGACGGCGGCAGGAGGAAGACCACGTACGGCAGGGAGCCAGCCCCCCCTGCCATAGCCCCTGCAAGAGGACGGCGGCAGGAGGAAGACCACGTACGGCAGGGACCTTAGTGGGCCCTGGAAACGACAGGGCCGTTTTTTTACCGGTTCCGGTTTGCCGTTTTTTTGCCGGTTCCGACGCCGTTTTTTTACCGGTTCCGTCGCCGTTTTTTGACCGGTACCGGCTCCAGTTCCGATCCTGGAGCCGTTTCTTCGCCGTTCCCGGTCCCCGTTTCTGTTGCCGTTTCCATTTTCAATGGACATGTTTTGGGAAACGGTGAAAAAACGGCCCTGCCGTTTCCGGGGCCCACAATCGGGGATGGACAGACCCCCCTTTAGTAAAACGTAGTTTAGTGAAAACGACCTGAGGCCCAAACCTGGCGGGCGCAAGCCTGGAAAATAAGGGCCACGGCGCCCTCTCGAGAACCGAAAACGGACAATTCACTAATCGACGTGTCACTGTTGGGGGTTCTGTCCACCCCCGACACAAAGGCAGGGACACCTCGGAGGCCCCGAGAGCTGGCGGGCCACGAGGGCGCGCAGCCCAAGGTCGAACCGCTGCCGCCAGGAGCCCCGGCCAAGGAGCGAGGCCCGTGGGCCTCAGCTGCGCCCAGGTGCACGAGGAGCGGCAGGGGAACTGATGGGCTTGTTTTCCACCACCACCACCACCATATGTTGGAGGGGGAGGGAATCATCCTCCTCCTCCTCCTCCTCCTCCTCCTCCTCCTCCTCCTCCTCCTCCTCCTCCTCCTCCTCCTCCTCCTCCTTTCGTCCTCCTCCTCCTCCTCCTCCTTCTCCTCCTCCTCCTCTCCTCCTCCTCCTCCTCCTCCTCCTCCTCCTCTCCTCTTCTCTCCTCCTCCTCCTCCTCCTCCTCCTCCTCCTCCTCCTCCTCCTCCTCCTCCTCCTCCTCCTCCTCCTCCTCCTCCTCCTCCTCCTCCCCCTCCAGCTTATGGTGGTGGTGGTGGAAAACAGGCCCATCAGGAACACCTCGGGGAGGGACCCCAAGGAGCACGTCGAGCCCCATCCGAGACCAGAGGGGGCCCCACCCCGATGTTGAAGGGGCCCTGGGACACACAAACAAATGCACACAAATAACAGGATCCCCCATATGTTCCCATATGTTCTGGGCTCTTATCTTCCCCCCAGTTCTCATAGTTTCCCATCCATATGTTCTGGGGGATCGACGATGAATTGTGTCTGTGTGTACGTGTTTTTCCCCCTGACCAAAGGAACACGTCGAGCCCCGTCGGAGACCAGAAGGGGGCCCCACCCCGATGTGTGTTTGACCGGGGGCTCCTCCTCCTCCTCCACCTCCTCCTCCTCCTCCTCCTCCTCCTCCTCCTCCTCCTCCTCCTCCTCCTCCTCCTCCTCCTCCTCCTGCTCCTCCTTCCCCCCTCCAGCTTATGGTGGTGCTGGTGGGGGAAAACAGGCCCATCAGGAACACCTCGGGGAGGGACCCCAAGGAACACGTCGAGCCCCTTTCCGAGACCAGAAGGGGCCCCACCCCGATGTTGAAGGGGCCCTGGGACACACAAATAAGTACACACAAATAACAGGATCCCCCATAGATTCCCATATTTTCTGGGCTCTTGTCTTCCCCCCCTCCCCCCCCAGTTCCCATAGTTTCCCATATGTTCTGAGAGATCGACGATGAATTGTGTCTGTGTGTGTGCGTGTTTTTCCCCCCTGACCAAAGGAACACGTCGAGCCCCGTCGGAGACCAGAAGGGGGCCCCACCCCGATGTGTGTTTGACCAGGGGCTCCTCCTCCTCCTCCTCCACCTCCTCCTCCTCCTCCTCCTCCTCCTGCTCCTCCTTCCCCCCTCCAGCTTATGGTGGTGCTGGTGGGGGAAAACAGGCCCATCAGGAACACCTCGGGGAGGGACCCCAAGGAGCACGTCGAGCCCCTTTCCGAGACCAGAGGGGGCCCCACCCCGGTGTGTGTTTGACCTCCCCCACGGGCCTGCCCGGGGGAGAGAGGCCCGAGCCCCACGAGAGGCTCCTCCTGCGGAACTGTGTCGGTATCCGCGCCTGCCCTGCAGGATCGAAGGCCTCCGTCAAGACGGGTACAGTCGGGGCGTTGACCTAAGGAACCCCAAATAAGGAACGAGGCCCCTAGTTTCCATAATTTAACTTCGATTTCCGATCGAAATCATAAGGAAAACCTGAGGCAAGCTGCGAAACACTTAAGGAACGCGGAGCCCCTCCCCAACGAAAAGGGTTCCTTCTTCAGGGCCCCGACTGTAATGCGAGCCAGGCTGCCTCCACAAGGGCTCCCAACTTCGCGCCTCGCGCTGCGCGAAGCGCGAAGTGCGACTCACTCCGCGCGCTCGCGCGCCGCCTCCCAGGAGAGAAGAGGAGGATGAGGAGGAGTCCGGGCCGAACCGCGAAGCGGGAAGCGCGAATAACTTCGCGCCCTCGAGGGCACCCCTGCATCAACTGCCGCTCGGCACCGAAGCTCCGCTGGGATGGTACTGATAACGATGGAGGTCGTTGTCGACCGGTGGTGGCCGCGGTCAGGATGATGTTGCTGGCGATGCTGCTGTTACAAAGCCTCCACGTGCTAATGCTGCCTGAGACATGGCTGGTCGAGTTCTCCAGCCGTGCTGCAGGTGGGCACTGGCGCCGGAGTTCAGAAGAAAAGAGGCGGCATACCAGAGGGAGAGTGCTCAGACACTCTCCGAGCTGTCCTTCCACGTCTCCACGAGAGGGGGATTTCAGAGCAGCCGAAGAGACCAAAGAACCTCAGCAAGATTCCAGCAGACGACGCGACGGCAATGCGCAACGAGTATTCCATCTCCTCCTCATCTTCCTCCTCATCATCATAATCATCCACTACTTGTCCTTATGAATAACTCCTCCCTGTCGCACCCCGAGGCCAGTCGGAAGGGTGGGCTGGGCGTTTCGCCTGAGACTTCCCTACCATGTACGATCCTAAGGCTGAGACGTTGGCAATAATCCCACCAGCCCTTTGGGCGTGAGTGGTTTAGCGAGCTCTCTCTGTTCTCAACCCCCCTCCTTCCCCTTCGGGGAGGGGTTTACCCCTCCCCCTACCCCCTCCCCCTGGACCTGGAGAGGGGGTTTCGCGGGTGGTCAGAGGGTCCTTTTTCTATCCCTGGGAGGGCTAAAATTCGACACCCCTCACGAGGATCGTGGCCCCGACGGGGGTACTGACAAAAATGCTCGCCCCATCTGTGATCGATCGCCCGAAAGATGGCCCCAAGATACCTCCCAGACCCCTCCCAAAGAGCCCCAAGAGGCCCCAAGAGGCCTCCAAGAGGCCCCCAAGATGCCCCCAAGAGGCCCCCAAGAGGCCCCAAGAGGCTCCCCCGAGGCACCCAAGACGCTCCTGGAAGCCCCTGGGGCCGCCAAGAGGCCCCCAAGACGCCCCAAACGGCCTCCAAGAGGCTCCCAAGAGGCCCGAAGAGGCTCCCCCAAGGCACCCAAGACGCTCCTAGAAGCCCCTGGGGCCGCCAAGAGGCCCCCAAGACGCCCCAAAAGGCCTCCAAGAGGCTCCCAAAAGACATCTACTACTACTACTACTACTACTACTACTACTACTACTACTACTACTACTACTACTACTACTACTACTACTACTACTACTACTACTACTACTACTACTACTACTAACTACTATACTACGACTACTACGACTACTACTACTACTACTACTACTACTACTACTACTACTACTACTACTACTACTACTACGACTACTACTACTACTACTACTACTACTACTACTACTACTACTACTACTACTACTACTACTACTACTACTACTACTACTTACTACTACTACTACTACTACTACTACTACTACTACTACTACTACTACTACTACTACTACTACTACTACTACTACTACTACTACTACTACTACTACTACTACTACTACTACTACTACTACTACTACTACTACTACTACTACTACTACTACTACTACGAGGGCCCGAACGACTTGCACCAGGACGAGGTGCCCGAACGCCTCACGCCACGAGGAGCCCGAACGACTCACACCAGGACGAGGGGCCCGAACGACTCACACCACGAAGAGCCCGAACGACTCACACCAGAAGGAGGGGCCCGAACGACTCACACCAGGACGAGGCGCCCGAACGACTCACACCACGAGGAGCCCGAACGACTCACACCACGACGAGGGCCCCGAACGACTCACACCACGAGGAGCCCGAACGAGTCACACCAGGAGGAGGGGCCCGAACGACTCACACCAGGACGAGGGGCCCGAACAACTCACACCACGAGAAGCCCGAACGACTCACACCAGGACGAAGAGCCCGAACGACTCACACCACGAAGAGCCCGAACGACTCACACCAGGAAGAAGGGCCCGAACGACTCACACCAGGACGAGAAACCCCAAACGACTCAAACCACGAGGAGCGCTTTCTCTCCCTCCTCCTCCGCCTCGTCCTTCTCCCGCTCCCACCACAAGGAGGATGTACAAGGAGGCGGGAGGAAGGAGGAACAGGGGAGATATGCGGGGGCAGGCGGAAACACGCCTGAAAAACACGACTGTCGGCATGCTTCGCAAGAGTTGCTGTTTTGAGATGGGCTGGTGGGGATACGCGAAGCGTGAAGAATTTCATACATGGAGGGCGGGTCGCTTCCAAAATGTGGCTCTCGCCTTAGCGCCGCGCACACACGACTTATAAATTTGCAAAGAGGGGGTTTCGCGGCGCTACGGCGCTATCGCCGTAGCGCCGCGAACACTCGTCATTGCCAGGGCTTCACGGATTGAGGGCGGGTCGTTGTCAAAACGTGGCTCTCGCGTCAGCGCCGCGCGCCCTCGTCTTCAAGAATTGCAAGGGCTTTACGGCTTGAGGGCAGGCGGCTTTCAAAACGCGGCTCTCGTCGTAGCGCCGCGCACTCTCGTCTTACAAGTTTGCAAGAGTTTCACGGCTTGAGGGCGGTGCCTTTTCAGAGTGAGTGTGGCTCTCGCCTCAGCGCCGCGCGCACTCGTCTTAAACACCTGCAACAGCTTCACGCACCAAAAAGGGTGTTTTGGAACGGTTTCCGATTGCCATGGCGCAACAGTTACGTTATGTTGAAGTCCCAGGAGTGGTGTTCTGGCACGATTGAGGCCCGTCCATACGCCGCAGTCAAGTTGATTCGTGGTATTGGAACCCCGAAAATGGTGTTTTGGCACGCTTCTGGCTCTTCAAACGGTTGTCTCACAGCGGGGCAGTTCCCTGTGGAAATGCATGCCGGGGCCTATGAAGAAGGAGATTGGAGGGAGGACTCATTCCAATATCGTTGATGAGTCTTGGAATTACACTGGACCTCCTCATCCTCCTCCTCCTCCTCCTCCTGCCCCTCCTCTTCCTCCTCATTATCCTCCTCCCTTGCACCCCCAGGCGTGTCGGTAGGGCGGGCCAGGCGTTTCGCCTGAGATCTCCTCACAAATTGTGACCATGAAGCTTGCAGTTCGCAACAGCTTCAAGGATGGAGCATGCGTGTTTCCAACATGGGGCTCTCGCCCGTTGTGGGCCCCGGAAACGGCAGGGCCGTTTTTTTCACCGTTTCCCAAAAAATGTCCCTTGAAAATGGAAACGGCAAAAAAACAGCGACCGGAAACGGCAAAAAAACTGCTCCAGGATTGGAACCTGAGCCGGAACCGGTCAAAAAACGGCGACGGAACCGGTAAAAAAACGGCGTCGGAACCGGCAAAAAAACTGCAGAACGGAACCGGTAAAAAAAAACGGCCCTGTCGTTGCACGGGCCCACTAAGCTCTCGCCCTAGCGCCGCGCATATTCGTTCAAGGTGGGGCTCTCGCTTTTGCGCTGCGCGCATTCGTCTTGGGAGCTTGCAGGAACTACAAGCTCAAACTCAAAGACCGCAAACTTCAGCATCTGTAACAGCTGCACGGATGGAGGGAGGTTCCTCCTTCAAAATGGGGCTACTCCAGATTTCGTAATAAAAGGGAGGGGTCTGGACCCTCCAAGACAAGCCATTTCAGACCTCCCCCGTGGGAGAACCCTCCAAAACATCGTCCCCAGACCCCCCAGGCCCTCCAAGATAGCCTGGAAGAGACCCCCCCCCGAAATGAGACCCCCCTCCCTTTATTACGAAATCTGGAATATAGTTTGACATGCCCTCGAACTGCAAGGAAACAGCCGTAAACTCGTGCAACAGCTCCACCGATGGGGCGGCCATGTTTCGCAACGGGGATGTCGCTGGACACCTCGTTAAGCTACATGATCACACAGGTTTCGCATTCCTGATTGCATGCTGGGAAATGGAAAATAGCTCCTCTTCAACACGGAGATCTCGCCTGACCGACAGGCTTAGACGGGGCTGGTTTTTCAAGGGGGTGCGTCCCGTGGTGGATAGAAAAGCTTCTGGTGACGTGTGAGGAATGGACTTGGCATGGGAGGGTACACGTCAGCATCGCTGATGCATCCTCCTCATGGTTCCTCATCTTCTCTCACTCCCGGTCTCGCTCTCGCTCTCTCGCTCTCGCTCTCCTCCTCCTGCTCCTCCTCCTGCTCCTGCTCCTCCTCCTCCTCCTTCTCTTTTTTCTCCTCCCCCTGTACTTGAAGGTAGGCTTCAGAGGCTGTGGGAAGCGAAGCATCCCACCACGAAGACCCGTGTAGTCTAATCTGGCCCGATTCGGGGCCCAGTTTTGGTTCGGCCATCAGAAGGCCCTTCACCCGCAACCAACCACAGTCATGTAAGAGCTGGGGGTGCATCCTAAAGCAAGGCCGCTTCGACACCCTCGCGACGGTCCCAACGCAGCTAAATCCAACAGAATCCTCCTTTCTCCCTTGTTTCCTACACCTCCACTTCCATCTCCTCCTGGTCCTCATCCTCCTCCTCCCTCCTCCTCCCTCCTCCTCCGCCCTCCGCTGCCCCCAGAGCGGCAGGAGAGCTGGTAGTTGGTGCCAACCCCGTGCAGCAGTGCGGCGAGGGCAACAACAACGACGACGACGACGACGACGGCGGCGGCGGCGACGACGAAGACGACGAAAAGAGGCGGCGCCATGTTCTGCACGTTGATGTCGAGGGCCCTGTTCTGCTTCAGCGCGTACTCGTTCGCGACGGAGCCGAACGCGTTGCACAGGGTCATGAGCAGCACCCACATGAACATCCAGGAGAACTCGCCCGAGGACCTGGCGGGGCGGGAGAGGGCGAAGGCCCCTCGACGGCGGCTACCGGCGAGGGCCGCTCGCCCGCTCAAGGAGCGCTCTGCTGCGTGATCATCGACCCCTAATGGGAGAAGAAAAATTGGCATGAGCATCAACTTTTGGCGCCCCGCGCGGATCCGAGAAACCCCTGCGGGGCGCCAAAAGGTCATGCTTCTGCCATGTATGATTCTTCTTACTATACTTCGTAGCATTGGTACTACTTTCATCATCACGCTTATTCTTTTTATTAGTATTACTATTATTATTCATATCATTATTATTATGAGATGCCGTAGTATTAGTCTTGATGTCAGGGCTGTTATTCGCAATCATAACATTATTCTTCTCATGCTTATGAATATTACGACTAGTGCTATCATTAGTGCTCCTCTCCTTCTCCTCCTCCTCCTCCTCCTCCTCCTCCTCCTCCTCCTCCACCTCCTCCTCCTCCTCCTCCTCCTCCCCCTGCCCCTCCTTACCCCCCACCGTGGCTGCACAACGCGGCTGCGCACAACTTCCTGGCGCTGCGGCCGTCGGTCAGGTGCTGCCGCGCGCCACGGGCCACCGGAGGGTGCCGCCGCCGCGGGGGGCGGAGGGGCGAGAGCGGAGGCGGACGGGCCTCGCCGAGAACACCTTGTTGACGACCTCGGCGGCGCTCTGCGGCGAGGCGGGGAGTCCTCCTCGCCCGCCTCGCCCGCCTCGTCCTCCTCGTCCTCCTCGCCCTCCTCGTCCTCCTCGTCCTCCTCGTCCTCCTCGTCCTCCTCGTCCTCCTCGTCCTCCTCGTCCTCCTCGTCCTCCTCGTCCTCCTCCTCCTCCTCCTCCTCCTCCACGTCCGCCTCCTCCTCCTCCTCCGCCTGGGAACCGACGTCCTGGTGCCCCAGCGGGCGGCGGATATGGACACAGATGTGTACATGTGTTTATGTATACATATATATATATATATATTGTATACATATACATATATATATATATATATATGTGTGGCCCCTCGGGGGCCCGAATGTATCCAGATCCACCGCCTATGGAGGTCCGCAAAGATCGACCCCCGAGGCGGTGGCTATGGATACATTCCCGCCTCTATCCATATCCACCGCCTGGGAACCAACGGCCTGGTGCCCCAGCGGGCGGTGGATATGGATATGTTTTGGCACCCGGGGGCCCGAATAGATAGATCTATATATATATATATAATAAAGATACATACATGTCCACCGCCTGTGGGGGTCCGCGAAGATCAATTCCCGCCTCGGATCTGTCTCTCTATCTCTCTCTCGTTCTCTCCCTATCTCTTTCTCTGTCGTTTGTTCGTCAGAGAAAACGCAAGAGGCTGCACTTTCCACTTCTCGCTCCGCGTCAGAGCGCTCTGGCCACCTCAGCAGACGCCTCGTCCAAAGCAGTTGCCTCTTCGCCAAGTGTCGTGCAAGGTCCAAGAATGTCCCTCTGCCTCTCTCTCTCTCTCTCTCTACGTCTCTCTTTCTCTCTCTCTCTCTCTCTCTCTCTCTCTCTCTCTCTGTCTCTCTCTCTCTCTCCGCGGCGCGGGGCGGGGGGAAGTAATTAAGAGAGGGCAGGCCGTCTCAGAAGGCGGCGGGGCCTCCCAGAAGCCCTCCAGCCTTCTGACAAGCGTTCTCTGTCGTCGGGGAAGGCCGAGAAGGCATCTGTCTTCGGAGAAGGCCGAGGACGCTCGACAGAAGCCAGGAGGCCTTCCGAGCCTTCTGAGAAGGCCCGCCCCCTCGGCAGTCCCCCTGGGCACTCCGCCGACTCCCCCTGTCTGGCAGATGTCAGTGCCGCACGCGGCCGGCAGAGTCCAGAGCCAGCAGGTGCGGGCTCCAAAAATGTACACCACCACAGCCTCAATCCCCCCTCCCTCATTCAACCCCGTATTGCCCTCTCGTTCCTGGGAGAGGGGGAGGAGGTGGGGGTGGTGGTGGTGGTGGTGGTGGTGGTGGTGGTGGTGGTGGTGGTGGTGGTGGTGGTGGTGGGTGGTGGTGGTGGTGGTGGTGTGTTGGTGTGGTGGTGGTGGTGGTGTGGTGGTGGGGTGGTGGTGGTGGTGGTGGTTGGCGGTGTGGTGGTGGGTGGTGGTGGTGGTGGTGGTGGTGGTGGTGGTGGTGGTGGTGATGGTGGTGGTGTGGTGGCGGTGTGGGTGGGGGGTGGGGGTGGCGGTGGTGGTGGGTGGGCGGTGGGTGGTGGTGGTGGTGGTGGTGGTGGCGGTGGTGGTGGTGGTGGTGGCGGTGGTGGTGGTGGTGGTGGCGGGTGGTGGGTGGTGGGCGGTGGTGGGTGGCGGGTGGTGGGTGGTGGGCGGTGGGCGGTGGTGGTGGTGGTGGTGGTGGTGAAGTGGTGGTGGTGGTGGTGATGTTGGTGGTGGCGGTGGTGGTGGGTGGTCGGTGGTGGTGGTGGGTGGTGGTGGTGGTGGTGGGTGGTGGTGTAGTATACGTTTTGGCCCCATGAACAGGGGCGGGCAGGCGGCGTCGTCTGGGGACAGACATCCCTCCTCTGCAAGGTCAGTTCGGGCTGACTGCAGCTCCGGCTCCCCTGACCTGCGGCGACTTTACCCAGCTGGTCCACCATTCCAGAGACCGGGGCGGCAGCGACAAAGAGCCCTGGCCCCGGAGGCCTCAGGTATTCGACTGGTCGGCGCTGCAGCAATTGGAGAGTTTGCTGTGGCCGGAAAGGACGGAGGATGATCCCAGGGCGTTGGTCCAGAAAAAAGGGTGCGACCGAAGTCGAATGTCAGAACGACGCCAGTGGGTTCAAGGGTGCTAGACACCCACATTTAGAGCGGAGCATTACGGCAAGATCGATCAAGACAACTGAACGCAGCGTACGCAGAGCGCTGGAACGCATTATCACCGATCGGCCGTAACGCATCACAGACATCTTCGAGGTGGTGTGCTCAGACATCTACCCAATTCCAGGTGTGACCAACTCGCCAGCTACATGGTCTGCAGCATTAGAGCGTCGCACGCTCTCCTGAGAAAATATCTTGACAGGCGCTACCAAAGAGCGCCCACAACGAGACCCTCGGACTAGATCGCATGAGACGTCACTTCAGCCAAGCTGTCCCGATTCGCGGACAGCCTCGCCGTGCCCGAGTGCTCCAGAAAGAAGCGCGCAGATGAGCCCCGCCTCTGGGTGCTGAGATCGGTCTTGTGCAAGTCATTACTAGAAGCTGGCCGCAGTCGCGAACAAGTGCGACACGAGCAAACTGCGCAGCCTGAGAGGCCAGATGGCAATTAAGTTTCTGACAAGACCGAGGAACACGATGAAGATGCCACCAAGCCTGGTCCAGCCGAGCTGGACATTGAAGACGCACCTCCACATGCAAGCGGTCCTCGGATAGCAGCGCGCGTGTTGGTCCCTCTCTCCACATGGGCCGCTCTCGCTGTCACACGTCCGACATGGCTCGCTGACGGTCATATGCGCTCGATCACACTGTACAGGCTGGCACAAGCGAAAGGAGACAGCTCAATCCCTTCTTGCGTCTCCTCCCCCAAGTATCCCCTCTTCCTGCCCCTCATGCCCCTCTTCCTACTCATCCTCCTCATCGTTATCTTCTTGCGCCAGGAAGCCGTGGCTGTCCAGAGGATCATGGTGTCGCGGAACACGCCGAAAGTGGACACGTCGTTCTTGCCGATGGCCTGGTGCCGAAGCCACACCCGGGCAGTGTGGTGCTGTGCGGGCTCAGTGCAAATATGACTGTCACAAATGCTAGGCCCTTCAACAACACAGGTGTGGCTAGCTACATTCGAGCTGTCAAGGAGGCATGCTCGAAGTTGACGCTGCTGGAGAAGATGAAGCGAGGGGCGGGGATCGGAGGGGACCAAAGATGAGGGGGGCGGAGGAGGATGGGAGGGGAAGGGGAGAGGACAGGGAGGGGGCGTGGCCGGATGGAGGAGAGGAAGAGAGAGAGGGAGAAAGAAAGAGAGCGAGAGAAAGAGAAAGAGAAGCCGTGCACGTCAGAGGAGGTGAATGGATAGGAGAGGAAGGCTTTCCGAAGGGGAGGAGTCTGGGAGAGAACAGGACGAGGGGGGAAGGGGGGAGGGCGAGGGGAGGCAGGGGAGGAATGGAGGAAGGAGGGGCTGCCATGGATCCTCCTCGAAGTCCTCCTCCTCCTCCTGCTCCTCTTCCTCCTCAGTCCAGATAGCTACTTGGCTCCAGTGAGTCGTGTGCCGCCCGGCTCTGCGCCTCCACGACGGCGCTTCAGGGGCTCCTCGCCTCAGCTTGCGAAAGCAAATCCCGGTGGCCTTTTGGTCCGCAGCCGCAGGCGAGGAGCGCCAGCGGCGAGCCGAGTCCGAGCGGGCCGCGCGGAGACGAAGTACCTGAAGCCGACGGGCCGAGGCCTCAGGCGGCTCCTCGGCGGGCAGGAAGGCGAGGGGGGGGGGTGCAGCCGACCAGCCATAACTGGGGGAGCTGTGGTCCTTACCCCCCTGGGGGAACCCATCGCCTCGACGATCTCTCAAGAGGGGTGTCGAAATCGATGGGTCCCCCAGGGGGTAAGGACCACAGCTCCCCCAGTTGTGGCTGGCCTGTGCAGGCTGCGGCCGCCAGGGCACTGGTCCAATCCCGGTGGCAGAGCAGAGCGACGTCAAAACAGCAGCGCGGGCAGGAGTTCCTCCGACTGGCATCGCTGCGTGCCTCTGCCCTCCCCGGGCGGTCGGCGAGCCCGGGGATTTTTCGCCGGAGGCTCACCGCCTGGGGCCAGCGGCTGCCACCACTCGATACTATACACATACAGGGCAGTTTTTAATACATAGGATGTGTTTAAAAATATTGGATTTAAATACACGATTAATGTATGAATAAATTTATGCATGTCGGCGGTGGACAAGCCTCCCTTCAGCAAACCTCCCCTTCGTGAAAACGACCTATAGGACCGCAATCGACGGACCTGGACCCGCAAAAGTGACGGCCGCGACGCCCTCTCGCGAACCGAAAACGGCTAATTCCTTAATCGACGTGTCAGGGTAGGAGGCCTATCCACCTCCGAATATGCTGTGTGGTGCTGCTTCGGCTTGATCACAATGTGTGAGCTTCTCTTGGCTCCCGGAGGCGTCCTTTCTGCGCATCGTCTGCACGGTCCCAAAGCCAGGCGGGGCGGTCAGCGCGCCGACTTCGGGAGCGTGGCCCACGGCCGCGGCAGGTCCGCACTGCGCACAAACTCTGCCGGTTTGAGATGCAGTCAGCTGCGTGCTCCTGGTGGTTGCGCTTCGCCTCCTCCCGCCTGCGCCGGGCCAGGCCTTCCGCAGCAGGCAGCACGCTAGAGTTGTTGCACCACGGCGGTTCGCTCTCGTCTCCGGCGAGCCAGATGTGTCCCGTCGCCGTATGCTCGTGCCTGGCCAATGGCATCAACGCGTTTGGCATCGTGCATACACGTAGTGTCATCATGCACAGTGCGTGGGTCCACGTTTGCTGGCGGCCTCTTCTCCTGAGGAACCCCCGTAGCCGTACTGGTGCAGGGTTTTTTCTTACAGGCCTTCTGAAGGACCTGAACACGCAATATTGGCGAAGGCTTTTCGGGGTGTACTACTACTTCATGGTGCTGTTCTCCTTGGCCGTGTCGGTCCACGTGGTGATCAGGGGTGTTGCCTTTTTGATATGACATCGTCTTGGTGGTATTCCTATTCCTATTTCGATTCCTACTCATACTCCTCCTCCTCCTCCTCCTCCTCCTCCTCCTCCTCCTCCTCCTCCTCCTCCTCCTCCTCCTCATCATCATCATCATCATCATCATCATCATCATCATCATCATCATCTCATCATCCTCCTCATATCCTCCTCCTTCCTCCTCCTGCTCCTCTCTCCTCCTCCTCCTCCTCCTCCTCCTCCTCATCCTCCTCCTCCTCTCCTCCTCCCTCCTCCTCCTCCTCCTCCTCATCCTCCTCCTCCACCTCGAACCCCGAATCCTCCTCCACCTCGCCTCGAAAACGAGGACGTTGTTGACGGTGAAGACCATCGCCGGCACAGCCAGCCACTTGGCGTCCTGCGGGCAAGCCCGCGCCCCGTCCGACCTCACCCGCGGCGGCGGCGGCCCCCTCGGGCAGAGAGCTGGTCCGGCTGGGTGCTGCCAGAGGCGTCCCTGGCCCCAGGTGTCCCCGGGATTTCCCGGATGGCACAGACGGCTTCCAGAGCAGCCCGCTCGAGGCCCTCGGTGACACGTCGCCGACCGATCGGCGAAAGGCGCTCGATTACGAGATCGCGCGCTCCTGGGCGGGGCGGGCCGTCGGACCCGGGTCGGCGATGAGTGGGCGATGGATAGGGGTTCGACCAGTTGCACCCTGAGCCCATCCCCCGCCAACATTACCCTGAGTCGCCTGGATTTCGGGTCATGGCTCCGGTCTCCGGCGGCCGTTGGGGACGAGTCTGGCACCCCAGGAAGGCCCTGAACCAGGCGCGGCTGATGGAAACCGCCAGGGGACTCGAAACTCTCCCACACCCTCATCTTCGTAGTCACCACCACCACAATCAGCATCATCACCGTGATCGTCATCCTCCTCCGCCTCCTCCTCCTGCTCACACTACTACTACGACGACCACTAGTATTACGACCCCTACTACTACTACTACTACTACTACTACTACTACTACTACTACTACTACTACTACTACTACTACTACTACTACTACTACTACTCTACTACTACTACTACTACTACTACTACTACTACTACTACTACTACTACTACTACTACTACTACTACTACTACTACTACTACTACTGCTACTACTACTACTACTACTACTACTACTACTACTACTACTACTACACTACTACTACTACTACTACTACTACTACTACTACTACTACTACTACCACCACTACGGCTACTACTACTACTA